AGGAGCTGAGCTGCTGTGCAAAGGCTGGAGCGGGGAGGAGGCAGGGGCTTTGGCAAGAACAGTCCCCCAGCCCTGCAGGCAGCTCACGCCACACTGCCCATGCCCCCCGCAGCCACCAGCTCCACGGGGCAGAGCGGGACGGGCCCCGTCCCCAGTCAAGTCCATGCTCAGTCCCAGGCAGAGCACCCGACTGAGAGTCCGAGGGCTCCCCGGGGCAGGGAGCAGGGCCGGGGGGCGGTGGACCACGGTCCCCGGGAGCTTTTTTTTTTGCTGCCGGCCGAGATGATGGGCAGGTGATTGTCCATGTGGTAGCTGATGAGGTGGCTGACGCTCTCAAAGCGGTGGTCTTTCGTCCGCACCTGGGGGGCAGGGAAGGGGCACTCAGGAGGCTGCCGAGGGCCACAGGAGGCCAAAAGCCACCAGCCTCCAGGAGCTGGCCACTGAGCTGGGGGGAGCTGCCTTCGCTGCCACGGGCCACCAGGCCCTCTCCGTCCCCCAAGCAAGCCCAGAGGCATCCCCTGAGGAGTGGGGGGGAAGCCCAACGGCCTGGTGGCTCTTGTAACCCCCCCAAGCTGTGCCAGCTCTGCGCCCAGCACGTCACATGGACTCACCACTCCCTCAGGATCGACGAGCAGCAGATGCTTGGGCTGCCCGCCCTGCAGACCCGTCAGCACGTACTGGCCCGGGGTGGTGGTGCTCTCCCGCACCAGGAAGTCTCCGTTCACCTTCAGCAGCTTCTCGGCCTCCTTGCGGTTCATCTTCCCGTGGTACCAGGGCTCACGTCTCAGCTGCTCCTCCATGGAAGCCACCACCTGGGCAGGGGGCAGCCCCACGGGCACAGATGGGGGCACACGCAGGGCATCTTCAAAGGGCTCTGCAGGAAGAGAGGAGGAGGGGAGACCATGACCAACCTCACAGCTGCATCCCCCCAGCCCAGGCATGGCTGTGGCTGCCTCCCCACTCACTCATGTCAAAGAGGTCTCTCTGGGTGCTGCCGTTGGCCGTTGCAGGCGTGCCAGCAACTGACGCTTGGCGTGTCTTGTCCATGTTCTGCACGTTGACATAGGACGGGTCATCAAACAGGTCCGTGCGGCTGGACGCACCCGCCGGAGATGGGTATTTCTCTCTCCCTGCAGCCAAGAGCACTGTGGTCAGCAGGGCTCCAGCCTGCCTCGGCCCCAACACTAGTGCCCATTGTCAGAGCTTGGGGTCCAGGAAAGCAGATGGGGACCAGGCGTGTCCGTCGCGTTACCTTGGGCAGGAGCGTGCTGCTTCCGGGGGTCAAACTCCCCACCGGACGACTGGCCAACAGGCTGCAGGGAGAGGCGGGTGGTGAGCCCCACTGCGCTCCCCATCCCTTCCCACTCCCCACACCCTGGGCTGCTAGAGGTGCTGGGGAGACATGTGCCACAGCTCTCACGGTTGAATAACCCTGAGCAAAGAGCCCACAGCCCAGGTGGGGTCCCTGCCTCTCCCTTTGTAACATGGAGCCTCCCCATGAGGTTGTTCCCAGAGCCTTACCAGTGTGGCCCCCAAGTGATTGGGGGTCTGAGCAGCCCCATCCCGCAACCGCATGTCCACAACCCCACCGATGGGAGGCTCCTTGCCAGGGAAGTCGTTGTAGTACTGGTGATCTGGGGCTGGTTCCTCCTCTTCTTCATCCCAGGCAGAGCCATCAAACCCTGCCATCCTGGAAGGGCACAGCACAGATGAGCTGTTGACAGCAGCCAGGGCTGCATCCCACTCCAGAACTACAAAATCTTGGACACCCTCCCACCTTTCTCCTTCCCACACAGCCCTGCCCTTACCTGTCGTGGGGTGTCACCAGCTTTGGAGGGTTCTTCAGGTACTGCTTGAACCGCAGCTCGAAGGCCTGCCCAATGGTGCTGATGACATCCTGTGCCAAGCCCTCAGGGCACTCCAGGATATGGCAGGCTGGGGAGGAATGGCAGGATGGAAGTGTGGAATCCCAATGTTAAGCTCTTCATCCCTTCAGCCTGCCCTATGTACCCCAGAGCTTCCTTACGGGGGACCCAGTCCCTCCCTGCCACACGGAGCTGCACCTAAACATCCACAAAACGGGGCTCCAGTATTTAGGACCCTCGGCAGCAGCCTCACCTCTCTGATTGACGGGGTCTTTGGCAACATAAGCGACGTACTCAGCTGTGTCCTGTGGGTGAGACACTGGCAGTGAGTCGGGGATGCCAGGGAGTGCAGTGCCCGAGACTTTGGGGAGAGGGCAGGAGAGGCACAGGGCAGGGCACGTGTGGATGGGGACCCCGTATACTCACCGGGTCTCCCCCAGAAGCGAAGGAGATGGACTGCATATGGTGGTTGGCAATGATCTGCAAGGCAGAGTTTCTTGGATGCAGCCAGGAGCTCCTCAGCACCCAGCCAGAGGCAGCACCTCCTGCCCACCACTCTCCTGCTAGGGCTGGCCTGGCATGGGGGCTTACAAGCCTCCAGAGCCCTAGTTATGAGCCACAGCCACTAGGAAAAGGGCTGGGATACCAACAGTGGGGTCAAAATGAGGAGACCTGGCCCCAGGCCAGGGGACTTGGGTCTCTCGGTCTCCAGGACACATCCTGCAAAGCACGTGGGGTATCGCTCCAACCTCTTCACCCCCAGGGACAGGGGCGAGGTGGGCACTCATTAGGTCACACAACCCACCCAGACAGTCCTTAGAGAAGCTGGGGAGATCCCCTGCCCCAGCAGCGCCCGAGGTGTGGGACACGAGGATTCCTGCTCATCTAAAGCCAGTCGCCTGGCC